ACCTACCGCGATGCCTGTGCCAGGCTGGTTTCGCGGCAAATTGAGGTCCAGGTCCAAGCCCAAGCCCGGCGCCGCGGCCGTCTCCTCCGCCGCCTCCTCCCCCTCGCGCAAGTCCGTCGACCTCGACTACCCGTCCCCGTCCCCGTCCCCGACCCCCCGGGCGCGGGAGAAGGCCCGCAGCCTCGACTCGCCGGCCGCGCGCCATGGCCGGGGCGGCGCCGAGTTCCAGTACAAGCTCCCGGTGCCCGTGATTAGCCCGGACCCACTATGCGAGGAGGCCACGGATGTGGCGGGCTGCTCTTCGGCCTCGGGCTCCAGCGTGTGCTCTTCGCCGGATGACGCGCCGGATCACCACGTGTCTAGGTATGCGGCTGATCGCCCGATGGTTATGGCTTACCTGCGAATTTGCTGCAGCCTGGAGTCTGCTGCCCTGCTCACCAGTTCAATTTTCACGTTTGGGGTGAAGTTGAAGCTGAATTTGGGGTGACACTGTGATTGAATTTGGGGGAATTGCGGCTTACTCGAAAGGTAGAGGCGTCAGGTTTAGTGTGAATGGTTAGTGGTCTTAGCAACTTTTAATAGGGAAATTCGAGTCAAAATGCAGAGTTAGAGACTCGGAGCCAACAGTGTGACTTCGCACCAACTTCTCCTGTTGACCTCTTCCGTGGTCGTTGCACTTCTACAATTGTAAGCCACTTCATTTGTTTTTGGGTAAAATATGTACACCTAGTCCTAGGCGGGGTGACTACGGATGCCAAGGCGTTTTATGATTTGTGATTGAAGAAATATTCGGAAAAAAGGCTGAACAACTTTACGTTTTAGTTGGAATGCAGATTATTCTGCTAACATATTGTTTATGCTTGCAGTTCTTTTTGATGTTTATGGGTAAATATCCTTTGAGTTCTGCACTCAATATGCTTCTATTCTAGTTCCAAGATCATATCTTCTGATTTGGTTACTTCAATTAGTGCGTTCTTTTATACTCCTCCCGTCCCAAAATTCTTGTCTTAGATTAGTCTAGATACGGATGTATCTAATACTAAAACGTGACTTGATACATCCATATTTATACATATATAAGACAAGAATTTTGGGACGGAGGGAGTACTTTGTTTGGTATTGATATGTTCATTTCCAAATGATGTTTATACGTCTGTTGATGGTTCTTTGTTGCTTGGCATAATCTCCAGGTCCATGGATCCAATTGCTTTTGCCAAGGGAAGAGATATGGCATCTGACACAGCTATGATCTTAAATGAAGACAAACACTTCATGTCATGTAGTATGCCACGGGAGCATCACAAGTTCTTTGAGGCGAATGTTTCTAACATGAGGGCTCTTCATGTGCATAATAACGATGATCCTTCAACTAGCGAAGCCAGTTGTTCACGTGGCAGAATGTTGACTGAAGATATATTTGGTCCAAGAACGAGAAGCCCATCCCCTGGCCGAAAAGCCCATGCCTTTGCTGTGAATAATGTACATTCAAAAGAATTCGGGTTTAGCCCCAGGTCACCATTGAAAATGAGTGAGGGTTTGAGAAGCCCGCCTCATCCCTTGCCTCTTCCTCCAGCTCCCGGTGCTTGCCCACCTCTACCTCCATCTCCCACTGCTTGTTCACCTCTTCCTCCATCTCCCACTGCTTGCTCGCCTCTTCCTACATCTCCTACTGCTTGCTCACAGTCCCAATCACGGTGGAAAAAGGGGAAACTATTAGGGAGTGGAACATTTGGCCAGGTTTACCTTGGATTTAACAGGTATCATGGTTTTTTCATGTGTTCGTATCATTGCGATTTGATTATCATATGGAACTCAATGCATTAATGTCTTATTATATGCTACAAAACCTATAGAAAAGTATGGGATGTGCTAAATTGTTCAATATTCCAGTAGATGCCTTTATAAGTTGACATATGAGATTATGTAGCATCTACTCCCTCCGTTCGGAATTACTTGTCTCGGAAATGGATGTATCTAGAACGAAAATACGTCTAGATACATCCATTTCTGCGACAAGTAATTCCGAACGGTCTAGATACATCCATTTCTGCGACAAGTAATTCCGAACGGAGGGAGTAGCTCTCAAGGGATCATGCCTAATGTATATGTACTTAGCACACTGTTGTTTCGCTCGAATTTTCTGATGTCAAATTGTTTATATTGATTGAATGTCTTGGGGTGTTGCCTAAATGTTTGGGAAGGCAGTCTGTACAAGAACTCTTATCTCACTACCAATTATGCAGTGAAAATGGGCAGTTTTGCGCGATTAAGGAAGTGCAAGTAATTTCAGATGATCCACATTCGAAAGAACGACTCAAGCAACTGAATCAGGTTGATTATCTTATTCAGTTAACTTACTTGTCTTTCTACGCACCGCAACGGTATTTTCCTTACCTGTTTAATTGACTGAACAACATGTTATTCTTTCCGTATTAACAGGAAATAGACATGCTTAAGAAAGCATCGCACCCGAACGTTGTGCAATACTATGATAGTGATATGGTAAGTTCTATTTGATAAACCGTCTGCTCTGTCTGTGTGCAGCCATATTCGAATAATTATTTGCTCTTTGGATCCATCCAAATTTTTGATGGGATGGGCTCGTGAGAGAAAATAATGCCAAGTTTATAAAGTTCAATGAAAATTAATGATGTGGGCATTAAGGTCTCATGCACATAGAGGTAAAGTCAAGTCGGTGGGAAATTCAGTTTACTAAAGTTCACAAATGATGAATTTTATCCATAATGAAAGGTTCTTTCTGTTGCTACTGGCATTGCTCACAAAATGATGCCTTGTCTCGTAACACATATTGTGGAAATGTTGCATATATACACACAAAAATATGATAACAGGATCCACCTACGCATAAAACTACATTAACCATGCGGTAGTTAGGTTGCCTTTATACAAACATATGATATCTAAAAATGGTTAAATGAAATGATTTCATTCTGCAAAAACGATTTCATAGCTTATATGTTGCTTAGAGTTGCTGTTTTGACAAGGGCCTTGTGTGTAGATGCACATAAAAAAATGCCAGGTTACTCATTCTCACAAGGTTCACCAGGATTTTACGCTTAATGCTACCAAAGAAATGCTTGGCAATATATACACGCGCTGTAGCAATTTCCTGAATTTCTGTCCTTTGATGCACCCACAGTGACTTGTTTGACGGGAAGTTTGTGGAATTTATTCAGTAGTTTGGGAGGCTATGGAACCAATGATATAAATTCGTTGTATATCTACATGTACAAGTATAAGCATGTATGGGAGGAGAAGACCTGCAATATTCACTCATAATACAGATTCTCCAGTCTACTTCTTTAATGTTGGCAAAACTGCCACCAAATCCTAAGGGGTTAAATGCACTGGTTTTAGAATATCAGGGGTTGGTGTGATAGCTGGTTTTGTAGTTCATGAGGCAAAATTAGACACACCATCAAAGTTCAAGGTAATATGGAGTTCTTCAAAAACATTGATTGTAATTTATGTAGGCACGCTAATTGCTTTACCCGGATTATTTGACTCCCATCCACCTCTTTGGACATGCTTCTGTTTGACTTAAAGTATTTTGTTGCTTTTCCTCTCTCCTGGCTTGCATATGTTTTACTCCATTTTTCTTCCTGTACTCTTCTCTCCTGGAAGGAATTTATATGATTTTGCTCTTTAGTGGTTATCAGCTTTTATTGGAAGTACATTGCCAAGTAATTGCCTGTGTTTAGACTTTCTAACCGTGTGCCTTCTCTTACAGACTGATGAGACCCTTTCAATTTATCTTGAGTATGTTTCTGGGGGCTCAGTTCATAAGTTACTTAGGGAGTATGGCCCTTTTAAGGAACCTGTGATTCGCAGTTATACTGGTCAAATTCTCGCTGGTCTTGCGTATTTGCATGCGAAGAACACTGTCCACAGGTAGTATACAGCTTGTATAACTTCTACACATTACATAGGTAGTACAATAGAATAATTGATTGATACTAATTTTTCATGGCAGAGATATTAAAGGAGCAAACATACTTGTTGGCCCTAATGGTGATGTTAAACTTGCCGACTTTGGCATGGCTAAGCATGTATGCAGTTTTCCCTTTCTGCTCCCTTCCCTACGTCCATTCTCTGTGCGTAGCACTATGTTAAAAAAAAGTCTCATCTGTAAGATAGCAATCCTAGGTATTCTATTTTTAAAGAGCAGAAATACTAATGGGCACATTTTTGCTGGGAAGGAGTTCCGAGCGAATGTCCTTACAGCCGCTTGATCAAAATCAAGAGTGACATTTAAAAAAAAGTCACACTGCATTTGCTGGCAATTCTTCCCTACACATGGCAATTTTTCCTTCCGTACATGGCAAGTCCCTAACAAATGCATGACGTTTTTAGTTGTGTTGGCATGGCAGCTTTGGCGTTTGCTGGCAATTTCTCTCCCAGAGAACGTTTGCCAGATATTCGCGTCCTTTAAAGAGATAGTTGTGGTCTTTGTTAATACTACCATATGAGCCTTGGCCCAAACATGCATATACAACGAAAACACAAATTCTACACTGTATCTTCTTCTCCCCCTCCAAGCCCGTTTATCTCATTTGTTGTGTTCAAGCAGATATCATCTTTTGCTGAAATACGCTCTTTCAAAGGAAGTCCTTACTGGATGGCTCCTGAGGTGAGCTGCCTCCTTTCTTTACACTAAACCTTGAAACCGTATTCTTCATTGCTAATTGTACCCTTGTCAGTAAAGCTCTACTCAATATTGAAAACATGCAGGTTATTATGAACAGCAAAGGTTACAATCTAGCTGTTGACATTTGGAGTTTGGGATGTACAATTATTGAGATGGCAACGGCAAGACCTCCTTGGCACCAGTATGAAGGGGTATGCTTCTAAGTTGCAACTGTATTTCTGTTTCAATGTAGCCGTGACAAATTCAGGCTGACTCAATCTTCTCCAATCTGGCCTTGTAGGTAGCTGCAATATTTAAGATTGCAAACAGTAAAGATACACCTGAAATCCCAGATATTTTTTCTGAGGATGGGAGAAGTTTTTTGAAACTATGCTTAAAACGTAATCCAGCATCTCGCGCCACCGCAAGTCAGTTGATGGACCATCCTTTTGTTCAGGACCATCCAGCAGTAAGAGCAGCAAAAGACAGTGCATTGAGAAATGCATTTTCTGCTCCAGCAGATGTGAAGCATACAATGGTATAGTTAGTCCATAAACTCACTTCTTAAGTATGTGTTTGTTCTCTGGCCTTTTTCCCAATAAGAAGATAGAGGACTTTTACGGTACATCAAATCGATGTGAGCTGTCCATTTTTAGGAATCTAATGGTCATATTAGTTTATACTAGTGCGTAAAACCTGAGTAGCGGAGGATGGTAGTGCTGATTTCAGGGTCAAAACTGGAAGAGTTCAACAAATTGCGTGGCTCATACGGTAATTCCAAGAATGAAAAATGCTAGACCATTGTGTGGTAACTCTATAGACCTAGGTCTTATTCTGGTTGGATGGATGAACAATGGAAGGTGGGTCTCTCCGCGGCAACGACGGCTGCCGCCTGCAGGGGAAGAGCAGACTCGTGCAAGCACGCCGGCAGCCAGCGGCGAACTCATGCAGAAGTTTTGATACCAATCGTGTGACTGGACGGAGTGGACCTTTATCAGCCCATCAAACCTTATGCCCTTGATCCTTTCATGTAAAAAATAAAACAGTCCGATGTTTAAAGTAGAAAGTGTCCAATAAAAGCAATAGTTTGATGAGTCTTATTATACTATTACCACCGTCCCAAATTACTTGTCTTAGGTTTGTCTAGATACGGATGTATCTAACACAAAACTTGTCTAGATACATCTCTATCTAGACAAATCATAGACAAATAATTCGGGACGGAGGGAGTACCATTTTGTTTGTAGTAGAAGTTACTGTAAAAAAAAGCCAAAGAGAGGGTCACTTATTTTTCGAGAAAACGCAAAGGATTTGCGCTTCATTGCATTGAAAAGATGGGGGGGATTACAGTCCTCCTAGGAGGCTAGTGTTACAAGGGTCAGGTTCCCCTTCAGTGGACATCCCAGGATGTGGGCAGGACAATCCTGAGCCCCTGTGCCCCGGCTTGTGCCCAGTTTTTGGCCTCGGCCTTAATCCTATCCACTAAAGCTTCTACAGAGGGTCGCGCATTTTCAAAGACGCATTCGTTCCGTTGCTTCCATATCATCCATGGGATGAGCATGGCGATGGACTGCAGGCCTTTGCGCAGCGCGTGGGGCGTCTGCCCTTTCGTTCTCTGCCACCAGTCCATGAGCGTCGGTTCATTGTGCGGTGGCTGTGGAGGAATGCGTGTCCAGTCCAGGATGGCGTGCCAGATTGCCTGGAGAATGGGCAGGCCAGGAGCAGGTGCTGAATTGTCTCCGGTGCCTGATCACACATGAGGCACCTTGGGTGGTGTTGCAGGCTGTGGCGCGCGAGCCGTGTCGCCGTCCAGCAACGGTCCTGGTTGGCAAGCCAGTGGAAGAACCGAACACGCGGCGGTGCCCAACTCCTCCATGTCAGTTTCCATGAGGGGCACCTCGTGGACCCATGGAACGTCGCGGCATAGCAAGATTGTGCCGTGTAAGTACCGCTGGCCGTCCACCTCCAGCGCAATCGGTCAGGCTCGTGCGTGAGAGAGACGTGCTGCACGGCCTGCCATAGCTTCAGGTATTGCCCAATCTCGTGGATCCCAAGCATCCCTTGGATGTCTCGTGCCCATGTGTTGCCCATTAGGCCCTCCGGCACCATTCTTGATTTGCGTCGCCGCTTGGGGAAGAGAGGGTCAATTATTATAGTGACCCACTGACATGAGTGCTTGACATTTGCATGAACTATTGAATTTACTTGGACTCAGTCTGGACCAATTTAAGAAATAGCTAGAAGCACTATTCTGTTTTTTTTGTCATTGTATGCAACACCAGATCAACTTTGTGGGGTTTTTGGCTTAGTTTCATAAAAGATCCTATTATGTCTGCTCTAAACGAGTTCATGAGTAATCTGTGACTTCTTTTTTGTAAAGTTCATTGCATGATTGTTGTTATTCAAGGAAAAAGGTATCATTGTTTGCTCCATTTATGCTATCTGTTCTCTGAAAGCTCACACTCCTTATGCTGCCCTCTCTCGTTGCAGTCTAACAGGGAGTTGCCATCACGAAGAAGTATTACTCCCCTAAGGGATATAGGTGTGAGTGCGCGAGATTTTACCGGATTTTCTACAACTGTCCCTTCACCCCGTACCTCGAGGTACTTAAATACTTCGCGTCCATCCTCATTTTCACCCTTCTCGTAACATCATATTTTTGTTAACAAAAAATATGTATATGCTTTAGCAGCCCTATTCCTGTGAGAACAAACATGTCTCTACCGGTGTCCCCCTGCTCAAGCCCACTGAGGCAATTTAAGCAGTCCAACTGGAGCTGCTTGCCGTCTCCGCCCCACCCAATGCTCTCGTCTGGTGCTGCGGCTTACAATTCATCAAGCTACGCGCTGAATCAGGCACGACGGATGCCGGATCCCTGGCAGGATGGCTCCTTGAAACTCCATAGTCCTTACGGTTCTCCAAAAAGGTTCTAAGGGTCTTTTGTGGAGCTTCAGCATGAAAAATGCACCCATAACATGGTAGATGCTCAGAGTTGTTCTGTCTGCAGCCTCTTGTAGCTTTGTGTTGCGGCACCGGTCTGATTTACTGTACAGTCGAAAAGGGTTCTCGAGGGAAGAGGATGTATCATGAAGATCTGTATATATATAGGCCGTTATATCATGATGTAAATCAATACAAACCCTTATAGCAATAGGGTTGTAAACTCGCCAGTTTGCGCAAGCTCACAGTTGTTGTTAGGAGGGATCGTCGACTTTCGTGTCAGATATTGGAAATTTAGCTGGCTAATGTTCATGGTAAAACATTGGAGAAAAAGTGAACGTATATATTATGAAATCGTGTGGGTGCATCTTTCCTGTAACCGAGAACATGGTTTTTTGGATGCATCGAGCTGATGTTCGCATTCAAGTCGAAAGCCAATGACATAAAGTTGCAAAGAAAAATCCGGAGGACAGTTGTTTCTTTCTTGACAGTTATGGCACACACATAATCCTTGACCAAAGTTTCTTGCATTTTTCATTTGATGCAACCACACAACTTTTGTTGCACATCCATACGCTTTCAATTCCTCTAGGATCCAACATGTCATGATATTCTTATGTTTTTAGAATTCTGTGAACCAAAAACACCCTGCAAATTTGCCTTGAACATATTCTTTTAGAAGCTAGTGCACCGATAATTACAAATTTTGTTTCTTTGTTATTTTATTTAAAGACAGGCTTGGCGTAGTGGTGAAGTACTTCCCACCAAGAGCTCCTTTGGTTTGACAGAGCTTCATTGCATTGCACTGTGCATGTGTAGGGTAAGGCTTGCCTCGTATAATCCTTCCTCAGACTCAGCTAGTATGTAAGTTTCTAGCACTGGTCTGCCCTTTTACTATTATATTTAAGGTAAAATTTATGGGTTAAAACAATAAGAATGCTAGAATTTTAGCTAGCTAGTACTAGAGCCTCTTTGATTCACATGGTTTCAAAAATAAAGAACACATGAATAGAAAAAGCACGGGAATTGCAACATCATTCCCACTTGAATTCTACGGGATTAAATTGGCAGTGAAGTGTTTTTGTCTGCAAAGGAAAAACAGGTGACTCTTTGCAAGTGGAGGGAAAATTTCCTTTGAAATGTAGTGCACATAAATCTTTGGAAATGTTTCTGTAGATTTCAATCATCCGAATCAAACAACCCACATATAGTAGTAAAATTCCTAAGGATTTCAATCCTTCACAACTCCTATGAAATCCTTATAATAAAACAAACCTCTAGTGCCAGTTTGCTTTATAGTATTTCAAACAAAAAGGAGTTCGAAAAAAAAGGGGTAGGGTGTCATGGCATTGAAATCCATCGATACATAGAAAATAATGAAAGTTTGGTTTCACCACAGAAAATTCTGCGAGAGTTACCACTTCTTGCAACTAAAGGTCGTTCATAGGTAAAGTTTCTATGGATTGCAATCCTCTACCGCCCCCTAGATTCTGAAGTGGCATGGTGAGCGCGTGTGCATGTGCATCTTCAACAAATAGTGAAGATCTAGATCTTCCTAGAATAGGACGTTTGCGACCATGCAAGCAACGTTAGTACTTTGAGTGCATTAAACTCACAAACTTACAAGCGTTTCCAATGGAGAGACTTTAATGTTTTCTTCTCGACATTTTGCGATGAAAAACCTAAACTTTTTGACTTTGTTTTTTTGCGTGAGTGCGTCTTTGGGAAAAGATAAGGACTAGGTTTATGCCAATATGTTTGTGTGCATCCATGTGTGTGGGAAAACTCTATTTTGGTTACTATGGATGCAATAAAAGGATGATTTGCATTCAAACTTCTTATTTGCGACGAATTTGAGGACACTCGACATCAAACTTACAAGAGTATGCTAAACAGTTTCAAATGAATGTCTATCATGTTATTTTTGGGGGAAAAATCGCCACTATATAAAAGTTACTATCCACACCTTTTGTATTGACAATTTTGTTTTTTTGGCCCTAGAGTAGCTCAAAATTTTCCTCCGCGAAACTTTTCACACTAGTGTAATATATTATCATGTTTGATTTCGAAAAGTTTCAAGATTCTTTTGGCTATTTTTAGATTTTTGACTCTTTTTGAAATTTCTATTTTTTTCCAGTTCAGGTCCATTGGGACCAAAGACCCTCTGGGTGTTTCCGAATAACTATATGGTTAAAAATTAATATGAATTGCTGAGTGTAGACTTTTTTTTTGAGAATACACTATAGACAGCAGGCGGTTATATATACGCGGATACACTCATCCCTACGAATGAGACCCTACCCCTATAAGCACTTCCGAGAGACTGAGCCGGCATATTATCTTGAGACTGACAAAGTCACCACAGACGCCTCGTAATCGACGGGAACGTCTCCTCCCACTGAACGCATATTGTCGGAAATCCTGAAATAAATTCAGGAATAATGCGAGCACCAGAACTTGGACCTTGATAGGTTGGGGATACCATCTACCCTCCCAACCATCCAACTACAGATTGGTTCGTGATGAGTCTAGATTCTGAAATGGCGGGGTGTTAGTTAAAACATTAGTTTGTAGCTCATGTGATAAAAAAAAAACTCGGGAGATAGAGTACATCTTTAGATTTTCAAAAAGTGCTTGGTTTTCCTTTTCGCAGCTCGGAAATCAACAGCAAAATCTTGAAACAATATTGAATGATTTCGAGGACTAAATTAGAAAAAAATGAATGCGGTGAGCGTGGATCGAACACGCGACCTTCAGATCTTCAGTCTGACGCTCTCCCAACTGAGCTATCCCCGCTAATATGCTTTCTACTTTGTAGTTACCGTAGATAAATGGTAGACAACTTAGTTTGACAATTTTCCCAGGTTAATTAATGCAACTCCTGCATCGCAGTTTCCAGTAGCAAAACAGTTGGAATCAAAAGAATCGCCACAATACATCCGGATAATTTAATCTCTCAATTGACGCCTGCAGCTTCACAGAATTGCCACTACATAAGTTTTGCACGCTATTGAATACCATGACATTGGCAGACATTCTTGACGCAGAAACTTACAGCTTACAAGAACATCTAAATCCTCGCTAACTCTAATGAGTACCCGGCTCTGGTTCACCTGGATTTGAGCAGCTTCAGCAGCGCCCTCGCCTTGGCCTTAGCCCTGGCGCCGCACTGGCTCTGGAGCAGCAGCAGCAGCTGCGTCACCACCCCGGCGCCCACCGCCTCGCTCCGCGCCGCCCGCGACTCCCTGCACACGGCCAGCAGCGCCGCCGCCGCGTGCTCGCTCCCGTCGTTGCTCGACGACATCATGAACACGTGCCTCACGAGAATCCGCGTCGCGCCGGGTGCGCGCGCCACCGCCCTGCGGCCGGCCTCCGTCTCCGCCAGCGCCTCCACCGCCGCCAGCGCGCTGGACACGGCGCCGCCGCCCTTGCCGTACGCCCACCACGACAGGTGCCTGAAGAGCGCGCCGACCGCGCCGTGATGGATGGCGCTGCCCCGCGCCGGCTCGGCGGCGCAGACCGCGGCGATCGCGCGCACCGCGGCCTCCGAGGCGCGCGCGTCCGTGGCCGGGCCGGCGTGCTGCTGCAGGAGCGGCAGGAGCGCCTGCCACACGCGCGGCGAGGCGGCCACGACGAGCGCCAGGTCCCGCGTCGCCGCGGCCGTGGCGACGGTCTCGAGGAGGCGGCACAGGCCTGCCTTGGCCCGGCCGCTGCCTCGCCCCAGCAGCCGGACGAAGGACGCCAGGTTGTCCTCCTTCTTGAGCATGTTGAGGCAGTCGAGCTGCGGCGCAGCGGCGTTGGACGGCATGAGGCTGAGCGCGCACTGCAGCGCGAGCTCCTCCGCCTCCGCGTGGCGCTCCGCTGGCGCGGCCGGCGCGGCGTGGAAGACGAGCGGCAGGAGCACGCACAGGAACCCCAGCTGCAGCATGCACGCGCGGCCGACGTCGGACTCGGACGCCAGCGCCAAGACCTTCTTGAGCGCGCCGATCTTGGCGGCGACGGAGGTGGCGTCGGACTGGAGGCAACGCTTGAGCGCCGCAAGCGATGGATCGTCGTCCGCCGACTCCGGGAGGCTGTGGTCGGTGGCGGCGGAGAGCCAGCGCTCGATGAGGTGGCGCAGGGTGCGGTTGGGCACGAGCACGGTGGTGTCGCCGTCGCCGAGGGCCTGCATTGTGACGGGGCAGGTGCGGTGGCCGTCGGCGAGCCACCGCTCGATGCATTGACGGTCGTACGTCTGCCCCGTGCACAGCGTCACCGGGTCCGTGAAGATGTCGAGGCTGATCGGACACCGGAACAGGTGCGGCACGCTCATCTTCGGCACCCTCAGGCAGAGATCAACACGAATCCAGCAAGAAATGGAAGAAGCTACGACGCCCACACAAGAGCACGAACCCAGCAAGAAATGCCTTTGTCCAAGCAGGAAAAAGAGAAAAACAAACCACTCCACTCATACCAACCAAGAACTCATCAAGAAAACCCCCAAAAGATGGCAAACAAATCTGCAGCTCCGGCCGATCGGTGGAGAAGCCCTTGTAGGCCGCGATCGACTTATTTCGAGGAATGCGGTCACACAGAAAGCTTTCTTTAAACTCGTTGGAGGTTGGAGGCACTCACTCCCAGTCCCATGCCACTCCCATCAAGAATCCATGTCGATGTAATGTAACGGCAGCAGACGAAACCCGTGAAGTGACCGCAGCAGGGTCGGTCGTCACTGCGCGAGATGCTGGCCCCGGCCCCGGCCCCTATGGCCGTACTTGATGCAGATGATGGGCACAAGGCTGGCCAAAGAACAGGAGTCGCAGCAGCACAAGTGTCGCAGGCAGTACTGGATATGGATATGGGCTCCCTCTCTGTCTCTCTGTCTGGGAGGAGAGAGAGAGAGAGGAGGGAGAGGAGGAGCGAGGAGGACGAGAGAGGAGGAGGTGTGTGCGACGGTCATGACAAGATAAAGGCAGCCGCAGCGGCCGGAGAACTTTCTCTTTTGGTGATAGTC